CTATCTCACCAATGTGTTTGGAAGCATGCAATTTGCTTATTTTCCCAGGTTCACAGCCAGGAAAGAATTTGCCTCAGGATCAGTTGTACCTGGGGTTTCAACATATCTGATTTAGTTGACATTTAAGTAGTCTGGGCATCTAACAAATTAGTTAAGAATTTTTGGAGCTACTGGGATAGAATGAGTATAGTCATATGAAAGAAGGACATAAATTTTGAGGACCAGGGTGGAACACTATGGTTTAGAGTTTGTGTCCTTCCAAAATTCATGTGGAAACTTAATCCCCAGTGTAATAGTTATAAGAGGTAAGACTTTAAGGAGGTGATTAAATACTGAGGGAAAAGGACTTGAAGGAGCAAGTTCATTATTTTTTTGCCCTATGTGCAAGTGAGGACACAATGTTCATTCCTGCCAGAAGCTATAACAATAAGGTGCCATGGTGGAAACAGAATGAACTCTTCCCAGACACTGACTTTTCTGGTCTTCAATATTGATTTCTCAAGCCTCCAGACTGTGAGAAATAAATTTCTATTGTTTATAAATTTTTCAGTCTAAGGTATTTTGTTATAGCAATGGGAACAAACTGTAGATTTTGTAAACATCTACAACCAATTTCTCTGGAGTTCTGTCAACACAGGCTAGAATTTATAGCTACTCTTTTGGAAGACTTCTCCAGACCAAATTAGAGGAAAATAGAGCATGCAGGAGCTCTATTTGATGGTCTCAGCTGAGTCCCGGGGGCAGCCAGCATTAACCATCAGCTATAGGGAGTGTGCTATGTTGGACGTCCAGCTCAGTTGGGACTTCAAATGACTGTAGCCCAGCTGGCATCTGACCTCAATTGCATGAGACATCCTAAGTAAGAAATGCCCTGCCAAGTTCTCTCCAAATTCCCATGCCACAAAATCATGAACAACAACAAAAAAAGTTATTTTAAGCTGCTAAGTGCCAGGGGTCATTTGTTATGCTGCAATAACAACTGAAAGGTCCTCTTGCTGGACCTTCATGTGGCTTTCTTATGTAATGTAGCGTTCTAAATATTTTGGAAGGGTGTGGGGCCTTAATCATTAAACTTGAACCTTCATTCACATGGAGTCACAACGTCCACTATACAGTCTCAACATGAAGGTAGCAGTAGGGGTAGATTTCAAGCACAAAAGATGGTGGTTAGAATCAGTTCTGACATTTTTGGCATTTTGTTGCCTTCCCCCGGACCTCAGTTTCTTTGTCTTAAAAATTAGGAAAATGATAGTACTAACCTTAGGGAATAACTATATTTACAAAATGCTAAACAGTTTCTAGCATCTAGTGATCACTCAAGAAATGTCAGCTGCATTTATTGTTAGTTGCTTTATTGTTACTTCGGCTTGAAGCTCTCTCTGACCCCATCTCACTGGCCTTTGATATTACTTCCTTGGATCAATGTAACATTAGCTAAAGGCCTGGACCTACTCCTTCCTTGACTGTCTTTGACCTTAAGAGTCAGCCACTTGCCCTAAATTGTGCTTGGGCTGGATGATTTTTGTCCATTCCTATGTCTTGTGATGGTCACATTAATTTTCCAGATCAAATTCCCAACACTAGACAATTCTAGTACAACAAAAGGGATGAAATCATCATTAAGTCGGGTCCTTCATGATGATGCTTAATAACATCTCCATGCCTGGAATTTCCCAGAAGACCTTCAACAAATACTTTCTGCTCCTTTTATCAACAACAATTGTGGAGATTCTCTTACAGTGGAAATGACATTGAATTGTCCCTAAGTGAGGCAGAAGATATTTACTGATCATTTATCAAGTTACTACATTGGTCAGAAGTGGTAATGGTTGAGTTTTGAGTTGTGCAATCAGAAATGAGTAGACAGCTCTTAAAACTGGGCTGTCTACAAATTGACCTTTCATATAAGAGTAACTGAATATTTGTCAGACAGGTCAAGATACATAGCCCAATGCTTACAGAATGTTACATTATTTTTGCCCTTAGGCATCAGAGTCAGTATCTGGGCCAGTCTTTGACCTTGTTTAGGAATATCTTGCTGAGGTAATATCTGGAAAATGATACCATGCCATTCATGTGTACAGGCAATGGAGAAATGAAGCATAGTTAACATTGGTATTCCCAGTCTCCTCAGTTAAGGATGTTAAGACAGAGATGCCCAATTAAATGTTCAGAGGTTGCTGAACATTTGGCCTTGGGCTTGTCCTTGTCCTGTGGGAGGCTGTTCTTGTCCTAAATGTGCTCATTTTGCTATTCAACAGTTTTGGGGAATGGCTTGGTACTCTTCTTTTTCTCCAATTATTATATTGAAGAAGCACATAGTGAATTAGAGTTCATTGCAGATGTGTTATCTGTTGTTTCTCTCTATGCGAGGAGGAAGAGTCTAATTCCCCTTCCTGGAAGATGGACTGGCCCTGTGACCATTCATCCAACAAAGTGACAGAGTGATGCCTGCCCACACCATGTCCAGTTAGCAGCTTCTCCTCCTCTCTTGGAAGTCCCAAGCTTCCCAAGAAATCCAGCTACCTTGCTGGGAACTTACGTGGAAAGGAGCAGGCCTGGGACCACATGGAGAAGGAGGAAGGTAGAGATATTTCAACATCCCAATTAAGCCTCCAGTAGTCTCCAGTCCCAGCTGCCTTCTGACTCCAACTGCATAAGAGACCCCAGTGATACAGCAATAGAACTGTCCAGCTGAGCCCTATCATTCCACAGAACTGTGCGAGATAATAACATGTTTTTATTTTTCTTTTAAGAAGCTAAGTAATAATAATTTTGTATTGGTTTATTCTGCAGTTGTAGATAACCAAAACAGTGAAGTTGGGAATTTTATTTGGGTGGTGGTTGGGGGGAGGTGAACAGACCACTAAATCTGCAGAAGAAATAAGAACAAACAAGAAATTCTGCTGGGACTTCCTAAACGTGCTGTCTTTGGCAGGGTTGGCTTAAGTGTCAGTCAAGGAGATGACAGTTAAACAATTCTGAAACAGGTAATCTCAACTACTTAGGAGGTGGAGGTAGGAAAAATCTCGGTCCAAGGCTGGCTCAGGCAAAAATGCAATACCCTAACTGAAAAACAAGCTAAAAGCAAAAAGACTGGTTGGGTGGTTCAAGTGATAGGGTTCTGAGTTCAATTCCCAGTACCACTAAAAAAAAAAAAGAATTCTGAAATGGGCACCTAAAGTGTTGCTGGAGGTTTCGCTAGAGTAATATGTATGTGTTGTCCTTGTGGTGACACTTTTAGACTAGTCTCTCTGATCCCCTGGAGAGATACCCAGTGCATACACTGAATTTGTCATCACACTATATCCTGGACAGTTTTCCCCCAAACCTATAACTACCTTTTTCCTGGGTGAGCTGGTCTCAGCTGCTTTGGAAAGGTATCAAGCCAAATTGTTAGGAAGGAAAAACACATTCATAAGCTCCTGACATCTGTCCTTATGCTCAGAGCTCCTTTCTTCTTGTGAAAGTCCTCAGCCACTGAAGAAAGCTTTTACGTCCACTTGAAAACATCTCACACATCAGAAGCACACCAAGCCATTGTTTTCCTGTTGATATTTAATGAGTCCACACAAAGACAACATGGATTTTAAGCACACTGGCTTTCTTTGTTGCCTCCATCAATTCTGCTTCAAAGGCTTGCTTTAGACAACATGGTGTTCTTTGAGGATGTTCAGAAGGGAAAGACTCCATTGTTTCATCTCTGTGTAGTGTTTGCATGTAATTAGACTCATAATGCACAGTGGAGCTTTTAACTGAGGACTCAGTGGGCAGATGAAGGTGCATATCCCAGTGAAATGACTCTAGGGTGGTGATTCTACAGGATTGGGCAGGGTAAAGGGCATGTGCAGTTGGAGAAATATTAATTAGTCAAAATCAAGGATTTTCATATTATAGAAACTTAAGTTTTCAAACGACAGAAAAAAAAGTTCTGTTAAATTTGTGGCAAACACACAGAAAAGAATAACATACAGAGAGTATCTGGGCTATAAAAGCCACCAAGTTCGAGAAGAATTAATTTCAAAGGTAACACACATGTATAGGAAAGCAATGTGAGTCAACTCCCTGTATAGCTATCCTTATCTCAACTAGCAAAAACTCCTGGTCCTTCCTATAATTGCTTATACTCTCTCTTCAACAAAATTAGAGATAAGGGCAAAATAGTTTCTGCCTGGTAGCGAGGGGGTGAGGGGGGAAATGGAGGGGGCAGGATAGGTAAGAGAGGGAGCAGGGGGAAGGGGGGAGAAATGACCTAAACATTGTATGCACATATAAATAAAATAAATAAATAAAAAACAAAAAACAAGGACTCATTCTGAAAGTAGCATTAAAATCAAAATTCCAAAACCCTGATCCTGTTACTAAAAGCTACTTTGTGGATCCAGAGCCACACTGTCTGGTAGAACTTTCTGTGATGATTGAGATAGAATTGATCTGAATTTCAGCAGCTGAAATAGTTTATGTGGCTTTTGAAAACTTGAAATGGTGGGCTGAGGGTGTAGCCCAGTGTACAGTGGTTGCCTAGGATGTGCAAGGCTCTGGGTTTGATCCTTAGCACTGCAAAAACCAAAACAACCTTGAAGTTGAAGTTAGTGTGATTGAATAGTAGGAATTTTAATTTTATTTAGTTTAATTAATTTAAAATTAATATTAGTAGCCATGCATAACCAGTGCCTACTACCTTGGACAGTGGGTCTAGAGAAATAGATAGTAAATATAAATAGGTTTAGAAGATATCTTAAAGTAAGATATAAATAGTGGCCCAATAACAAATTAAGATTGAATGACAGGCAGCTATCATTTGTTTGTTAGGTTCTTATTTGCTAATTCAAGCAAGTATTTGTTAAGGGCATTGGGAAGTTTAATGACCATAGATCCAGAGGAAGGTGTGCTAATATCCTGTCTCTGATCAGCATCTCCAAAACAATTAATCTTTCCTGTTCTGAAGGCAGGAAAGGCAAACTTGCTTCCAAAAGATGTAAAGGCTGTAAAACACTCACCATCATCCATAATTCCAATGGTTACACCTTTGCCTGTGTATCCCAGCTCCCAGGCTTCTGCCACATTCAAATCAAGCCCAGGAGTACCATCAGCTTGCCCGGTATTGATCTGGCAGAGGAATTCAAAGCAGAGAATCTTATTAGTTTTGTGGTGTAAAGCATGCATGTATATGTTTGTTCGAGATGCTCTTAGTAACCTCATATTTCCAGGCCAGCATAAGGGCAATGTGGTCCATGAAACAGTGCTTCTGGGTGTTTCTCTTCACCTCTTATGGCATCACCACTCTATTTTTTTTTATATAAACAATTGTTTTATGTAAATATGCAAAAGATGTTTCAATATTCTTATCTTTAATAAATATATTGCTATGTTAATCTCACTATATAAAAATCTTGGAGTTCCCATTGCAGCAAATTTTCTCTGATATAGAATTAAATGCTCAGTCTCAAACTCTGTGTTTATGTCTCACATTTTGAACTTCGCACATATTATCTTGATTTACCCTTATTGAATATGATTTCCCTCACAATATTATTTGTGGGAGGAAACATGTCCCATCTTTGAATTTTTAGCATCACTATACCAAATCTTGCTAAAAATATTTGTTGAACTGGATTAAAGATAGGGGCTCACCTTTAGTATCTGTTCTAAAACAGGAAAATAAACCCCCAAAATTCAAAAAAAGAAAGAAGATAAGATGAAGAAAATTCCACATTATGTTCACAACTTTCTTTTCATGCATTTTTGTTTCATGCAGATTTTCTGAAAAATAGTTTGTAAAGGAACAGTAAAGTCAGAGTGTGTACTGCGCAACAGCTCACAGAAGTCAGTCACTACTCTGGTATTAGCAAAACATTGTATGAATGTCATTAGTGCTCTTTTACAAAAAAATTGCTCTTCACCTTCTAGGCACAGATTACCATGACACCGCTCTTTCTCCTTTGAAGTTAGAATGGTCACATGACTGGTTTTGGCCAGTGGAATGTAGGCTTATGTGCCATTTGTACATCCAGGCAGTGTAATTTGTACAAGCCAGTGTAATTTATTCCTTTTTCTTGCTGATGTACTTATGAGGCAGTCTGACTGAAGCTGGGTTCCAGCCTGATCAGACTGAGTTCCTGAGGGACTATGCATTGATCATGTAGCAACAGTGAGAAACAAGTTTTGATTTTAATAAACCAATGTGATTTGGAGGTTGTCTGTTATTGCAATAAACCTTGCCTATCATACTAACACATGTAAGCCCATTCATTTACCCAGACTGGATTTTCAGAACTCCATGTCAAAAAGCATAAGCCAAACTCTGAAACTCCATGAATCTTCAGAGCATCCCTATGCTGTATCAGTCCACAGATCCATTACTTTAGTTTTCTTTCTTGCTCATCACCTTTTAATTTCAAATAAAATAAAGCTTCGTTCACATCTATAAATTAGTCACCCTCTCACAATATGCCCTGAAGTTCAGATTGAGTTGGTGTCACTGCTCTTCTTTTAAACATAACCCAGCTGATCCACATGGATTATGATGGACTGATGTTGAGCAAGAAGATATTCTCTTCACCAAGTAGACTGGGTTTCAGTGCCTTGAATCTGCATCGATGAAGCTTCAGGGAATTGATTTCCTGCCATTGTTTTAGGAATCACTAAGGGATACTACTTTTGCTACTTTAGTTTCTGAGCTCTCATGCTTGTCTCTTGTGAAGTCATGGATTCTTCCTCTTGTGCCTGTAACTTCATTGTGTCCTCCCCTTACTCAGTTTGTTTGAGACTCCTGGATCACTCCTCTCAGACCTTTGATTTGACTTTTTCCTGTATTTGCAAGTCTTCACTCACATATAGATGAGGTGCAATTTTTCAGAGTCTAGGAGAATGTGATCAGCTGTTGGTGGTAGATTTGCCCTTAAGAGCTTCTGGCTAGTTAGCAGTTCCAGAAGAAAGCAGATTAGGGGATGAGGTGCATCAGGTTCATAGCAAATCAATACAGATTGGAGGGCACAGAGAGGTTCATTGAGCCAGATGCTGGCTAATATCCCACCGAATAATGAGGAAAAAGACATACATCTTTTTGCAGAGGTTCAAGCTGAGAGATGTTAGAAATAACAGAGAAACTTACCAGATACCATTGCTTTGTGAAAAGAGGATCGTTCATGTTGATGTCAATCTCATTGATATCTCTGTATCCTCGTTTTTTTCGGTCAAATCCTTCCTGTTGCAAAGCCATCTTTACCTGGATTGACAATACCAGTAAATTAGATGAATAGCAATCTAAGCACACCTCTTCTGAAATTCATTCCCACAAATTCAAATTTCATTTGTAAATGTGGTTTTTTTTTTCTCAGCAAAAGTGAGTTCATGTCATATAGATTCATTTTATGATTATTTTCTAAGAACATTTACTTGTCATTGCTCCTAGAAAACAGGCCTTGGTGATGGCTTGAAGGGCGTTTCCTTAAAATAAGAATTAGATGCAGAAAAGTGATTTCAAGGGACAAAGTGGCAGGGGTCATTAAGTGAAATAAAACCAGACAATAGAAGATTTCTATTAAGGAAAGGAGACATGTGAATTCTGGGAGGAAGAGATTGAAAAACACACAGCTCATATTTCTGGAGGGCTTTCCAGACTTTACATTTGTTGACAGTATTGTGTTATCATATTTGAGAATCAGCAAACAAACAAACAAACTAAACCAAACAATGTAAGACAATACATACTGGAGAACCATCAAGTCCCTTTGCAAAGCTGCAGAACGTGAGAGACTTTTGGAAGAGATTAATGGATGGCACTACTTTCCTAATACTGACATTTCATTTTTGGATAGTCAGGCAGAACCCCACCCTCTTAGATGGAAATGAAATTTAGGAGCTGATTTAATTCAAGCAGGCTCTGGGCCATCTTAAGGCATTGTCTCAATAAGGAAACTTTCTTTTACTTGGGCATTCACTACTTTATCATCTAATAGCAATGGCCATTCTGTACATTGACAAGTTCAAGGACTAGGTACAGGTGTAAAAGGGTATATGCAGGGTAATTATTATTACTGTATTTTGTGGCCTAGCATCCATTTTTCTTGTTTCCAATTCTCCCCAGTGTATTACCTTGAGACAGCCTTGAGTCCATTGGGCTCTGGGTTGGTAGGAATGAAATTTTAGGCACTGTCTGCTGTGGAGACACCAGTGGCTCCTTTGGCCTCGAGGTGCCTCCATGGCTGTCTGTCTTCCAGAATCTGAATCTCAGGAAAGTGATACAAGGGTAAGGGACTCTTGGAGCCAATTTATCCCAGAGGTTCACTCACCAGGTTCTCCCTGTAAAGGATTCTGACTATAATTCCTACAGCCCTACCCTGGAGATCTTCCCATACTGACACTTTAGCTTCCCATTGAGTGTCATTTCGGCCTAGGAAGGAAGGAACCTGAGTTCAATCATCGTATTTTCTCATTTTGGTCCCACAATGAGACTTTTATCTGCTCTATTCATTAAAGGGAGGTCTTCATTGGCTTCCACTGAGGGATTCTCACTGTACTGGATTCTTTACCATGAATAACTTCTTTGACATAGCACTTTTCCTTGCTAGAATCTTGAGGAAGCAAGGGCAACTACTGTGTGGAAGGTTGAAAACTCATCCATATGAAACATAAGAACAAAAAGACTCACATCCGATTTCATTTTTTTAGATTACAGTGCAGGGATGACTGTTACAATCACTCCAAACTCAATTAAACCTAGTGCACTCTAATGAAAAGACTGCTTAGATTCCTTTCCATAAAATTAATTTTTAATTCCATCAATGAGGTTTTAATGGAAGCCAGTGATGCTGCAGTCTCTAGATACTACTTCTCCATGGAACCTGGGGATTTAGGGGTCCTCAGCCTGGAAGAAACATCATCAGTTTATCTTCCTGCTCTCAGTGGAGATCACAGTTACATTTCAAGAGAGAGATGAAAACCTTTCAAAGTATATATTTACACACAAATACCTAGAGAACAGTGTTTTCACAATGTCACCATGTAACTGTATCAATAGTTTGTATTTTTTTGGGGGGGTTGTTTACTTTTAAATCATATTTACACTTAATTTTCACATAATTAGTTATCATACTATAGATACAATTGTGTATTCTTTCTTTACTGAGTATCTTCCCATAGAATTTTAATATTCTACTACATAGCTTTAATATTTTAATTTGTACACATCCATAGAGCCAGATACCACAATTTACCCAAATATTTTCCTCTTATTGACCATTTAGATTGCTTTCTATTATAACCAAAATTACCATGACCAGAGAGATGAGGTTATAAACTATTGCTAAATACCTCTCGTGAAGATTTCAATGCTATAATTCTGTGTGTGAGAAAGCCTTTAATGTCGGGGAAGTATTTCCTAGGGTCTAAACTATATTTCTTACATTATATATAAAAGACCATCTTTTAGAAAGGACTCCTCTGAATTTTAACTTTTCACATGTGATGCTTCTTATTACCATTTAGACACAATACTAAAGACATTTATACAAGTTAATAATAGCTTCTTCCCCGTCTCAAAAAATAATGCTTGGGGAATGCTCCCCCAAACTGGACCATAGTCCTAAATATTTGTTCAAATAAAAATATAAGCAAAAATATAAGAAAGTAGGAGTGCTGATTACTGGTTATTATTTTGTCAAAAGTGAACTGATGGATACTCTACAATTATGGTTCAACTTTTAAAATATTACTTTTACATATGTGCACAACTGTTATTCAGGTTGACCAATTCTAAATGATAATGAGCTTTCCATTAAGCCACATTGCTTCTCCCTACAGGCATGTAACAACCTTCCTGTATCTGGGACGGCTTAACCTGGGATATAACTCTTTAAGGACCTGAGCCATGATCACCTTACCTGCTGGACTGATAATTAAACAGCTGTTAATTAGCATTGAATGTACTGGGTAGAGAGGTGCCAGGAAAAAGGGGAGCAAGGGATACACCTGTCTCCAAAGATGAGGCACATTTTTGCTTGTAGTAAGTACAAGAAAAGCAACATAAAATACACAGTTATTACGTTGCTGAAATGCTGAAGTTTATTAATCTATGATTCTGTGAACTGAACTAATAAAATAGTTGAGTTTTGTTCAGAGTCCCCAGAATACAGCAGTAGAGTTCTACTCATAGAAGGGAGTAGCACCATGTACATCCTTAACTGAATACCTTAAAATGGTCCAATCCACAAAAAACCACAGTATCTTGGCTCCTCACTTGCTCTTTTTTTCTAAGTTACTGGGGTTTGAATTCAGGGCCTTCATCTTCAGCCACTCCACCAGTCTGCCAACCCTTTTTTTGTGATGGTGTTTTTTTGAGATAGGGTCTTGAGAACTATTTGCCTGGGCTGGCTTCCAAAGTGTGATTCTCTTGATCTCTGTCTCCTGAGTAGCTAAGACTACAGACATGAGCCACCGGCATCCAGCCTTACTTGCTCTTGTCACATCTGCAACTGAACAGGAATAGGTAGTAGATTTTTTGAGCCATAAACTGACCATTTGGCTTCGTCAATCATAATTTGTGCAAAATAATTTGCATGGTTATGGATTTTGCTTTGTAAAATTCTGCCTATTTCCTTCCTCCCATAGAACACAAGTCAGTTGCTATAAGAGTCTGTCTCCTACTACTACAATTCTTTAAAAGACCCTAAATAGGATAAATGCCCATGCTTTCTCCTGAATTTTGGTTTTATTCCAGAGTTGTAAACAATGTTATCAATTGTATCTCACTGACACAGGTTGGAGGGACCCACTGTTCCCTGGAGTAAGAGTTAAACATTATTAAAGCACTGTTAAATTCTGTAAATCACTATTCCTGTTAATGACAAGCCTTTATTTTAAGCATCCCTTTACTGTTTGTTTTACCTTCTTTAAAGGTAAAATGTCAAGGTCTGGGGCCATTTTACTCCTTAATTAACAGCTGCTAGACCCTTCCTTGGTGCCCTGGCTGCCTTGAGTGAAAGACTATCAGCCAAGGGTGAGCCACGCTGCCTTCATCCCAGCACAGACTACTTTGAACATTGCACACATGAACACCTTGAGGAAGTTACATGGCAACCACAACTGCCTGCTGATGGAGCACAACTCTGGCTTCTAAAGACACTCTTCTAACCATGACTATTTCAGACAGCTTGTGCTGGATTGTTTCCCATGACAAGCCTCAGTGAACTCCAGATAACACTGTAGCCATTTCCACCCAAGACAGAGGGTGAGCACTTCCCCTGGTGACCCAGAAGAAGGAATGTTACTGGTGCAAATACAGTCCTTCATTTGCATGATGGAGTGCTGTAATTGGTGCAGACACCTTAGCCACACTGCCTTTCTGGCCATATATTCAGGTTGGTTGGCTCACAAAGTGAGAAGGGTGGGAGACACCTTCCTGTGCTGCTGCCTGATTTTGCAATATTAGGTCCAAAAAAGGCTTCTCTTTTCTTTTCTTTCTTTCTTCTTCTTTTTTTTTTTTTGGCAGCACTGGTGTTTGAACTCAGGGCCTCACACTTGCTAGGTAAGTGCTCTTACCACTTGAGCCACTCCACCAGCCCAAAAGGGCTTGAATAATCTATTGTTGACTACTTTTGATCTTTCTTATTAGTATAATGGGCTGAGCTGGTAACACAAAGAGAGGATAGGAGCAGTGGCAATAGCAGTGGAGGCAGTAGTCATTACTGTCCTGGCAGCAGCAGCAGGACTAGTGGCAGTAGCAATGAAAGGACAGCTGAAGAGCTCCAGAAATACCAGGAAGTAGAGGTGATGCAGACACTGAAACTGAAGAGCTGGAGATGAGAAACTGTCATTGGAAGAGTTCCAGAGTTGAGAAGCTTTAAGGGCAAAGATCTCAAGGGCTGGTGGAGTAGTTCAAATAGTAACAACACCTGCTCAGCAAATGTGAAGTCTGAGTTCAAAAAAAAAAAAAGTGCAAACCTTTAAGGGAAAAGCTCTCAGACACCTTAGGCCTGAGAGCTCTAATATTTGTCAACATGGCATATGAGGTTGGAACAAGACCTGTAACCCTAGAAGGCACCATCCTGCCCCATCTGCTGCTGTCTGCTGCCACAGTCCACCACTTTGGGAAGCTAAGTAGCTGTCAGGGCTGCTAGTGGTTAAAGCTCAGAGCAATAAACATCCAACCTGACTGCCTAGAATCACAAGTCTCTGGTTGCTAAACCTGGAGCAATAGGCCCCTAGCTCCTAGAGCACGAGACCATA